CACCGTCGCCGTCTACGAGAGACAGGGCATCTCTGAGATACTTCAGCAGGTAGCCAGAGTGGGTCGCCCATGCAGCCGTAGGCCGCCCCTTGGGAATCGCGATTCAAAGATAAACTTCCCCTTGATCCTCGAAGAGTATAACCCCCTAAACCCGGGGACCTTTCGTCCTCTGGTCGCGCTCTACATGTCTCCGACACGTAAAAACACGTGTGGGGCGCTCTAAGCGCTTCTGGGCGCGCTTGGGAGCGCCTGGGAGCGCTTGGGAGCGTCTGGGAGCGCCTGGGGCCGCCTGGGAGCGCCTGGGAGCGCTTGGGAGCGGCTGGGAACGCCTGGGAGCGCCTGGGAGCGCCTGGGAGCGCCGGGGAGCGCCTGGGATCGCTGGGGCGCGCCGATGAGCGCCGGGGAGCAACTGGCAGCGCCGGGGAGCGCCGGGGAGCGCCGGAAAGCGCCTGGGAGCGCCTGGGAGCGCCTGGGACGCTTCGGAACGCCTGGGAGCGCTTGGGAGTACTTGGGAGCGCTTGGGAGCGCCTGGGAGCGCCAGGGAGCGCCGGGGAGCGCCTGGGAGCGCCTGGGAGCGCCAGCTTGGAGCCATGTGGGAATTTAGGGGCCAGCGGCCCTAAACCCTAAAAGGCTTTAGTTTGGGAGGTCGCCGGCCATGCGGCCGGGGGTGGGAAGATGTTGCAACTCCTGCTCCCTTCGCCAAGCTTGCTCGGGTCGGCTAACCGCCCCCCCAATCAAGCTTGCCGAAGGGGGGGCAGCATTGCCTGGACTGTCGGCCGCTGCGCGCCCGAGATGCCCTAAACCCTAAACCCTAAGCCCTAACCCCTAACCCTAAACCCTAAACCTCGCTCGCCTCGCACCGGACCCCTGCGGAAAGGGGGGGAGGGGGGGGGTCCGAACCCCCCCCTTCTCCCCCCTTCCTCCGGGGGGGGGAGGGTTCCGAACCCCCCCCCCCCCTTTCAAAGGGGGGGGGGGAGGGGTTCGAACCCCCCCCCCCCTTAAAGGGGGGGAGGGGGGGGGGGTTCTCGGACCCCCCCCCCCCTAAGGGGGGGAGGGGGGGGGGGTTCCCTGGAGCACACCCCCCCTTTTGTGTCTTCAAGGTGATCCACTGGCGCTCTTTCGCTAGATATGTTTATTTGTGTGTATTTATTTGTGTGTTCAGGGGCCCCTTCACTCCTCCCGGGAGGGAGCTGCGGAGGCCGCCGTCGGAAGCCAGCGAGGCTCCGTGGCACCTCCTCTGTCGAGGCCTGCCTGGGGCCTCACCGTGCCTACCCACCCTGGGGGCTCCAACCAGCCGACCAGCCTCCCACCTCCTCCCTCGTATCTTCAGCTCCCTCCTCCTCCCTCTCCCTCTCTCTTTCGCACTCCCCCTCCTCCCCCTCCCCCCGTCCACCCTTTTTCTCCTCCTCTTCCCCCCCTCTACATTTGAGCCGGGCGTGTCCCTCTACAGGAGGAGCACTCAGCAATTGACAGAAACAGTCTGGGGAGGATTGCTGTTTGACTATTTCTTGCTAGCGTTCACATCTTAAACACATGTGTTTTATGTGTCGTCCAAAATCCGCCTGTAGGAGGACATGCCCGACCTAACTCTGCATCGTCTTTCCCCCACCGCCTGCTCCTCCGCTGTCCTCCCTCCTCTTTCCCGCCTCCCCGTGGCATCTCATCGCACCATGTCAGGCTCGCGAGTCCACAGGGTGCGGGCCCGTGGACCCCGAACAGCAGATTCTTGCGCTCTCGATGTGCGTAGTGCGAAGTCGGGCGGGCCCCTTCCACAGGAAGAATCTTCAAACATAGTCAAACCATAGTCCAGGGACGATGTTTCGAGTTTTCTAGTATGTTGGGCCATTTTTGCATATTGTTTGACTCTTGTCAATTTGTCGCACAGAATCCGCCTGTAGGGGGAAATACCTGACCAAAGCGTAGTGGCGGATGGTTGGAACCGCCCAGGGTTTTCTCTTCGCGGGCGACCTTTCCGCTTGTCGGTCGCAGGATTTTTTCGACTGACGTGTTTTGCTTCGTGTCCAGGTCTCCGCTTCTCAACGTCTGTTGTCTTCGTTGTCTTCGTCCATTTTGATGCACGTGTGCGTCTGCAGCTTGGGGCGCTGCCCTCTGTAGGCTCACCCTGGCCACCCAGGGCCACACACATAGGCAACACTTCGGGGCTCAAGAGACGGGGTCAATGCAAACGGGGTCAACCAGAGCCCCAAATCTTGAAGGATCATGCAGGGCCAGGGTCGCACTGACCCCGGTTTGGGTGCAGGATCCTGCAGGATCTTGCAGGATCTTTCGCATTGGCCCGGGTTTGGGCGCAGGATCTTGCAGGATCCTGCAAGGCCTGGTTGACCCGGGTCTGGATTCACCCGGGTCAGAAGATCCCCGAACAATGCTTGTTTGAGACTTTATCAACACGCTCGCAATGTGTTTCCAGATGTTGTCGTGTCCTTGGCCAGGGATGGTTTGTCGAAGACACCTAATTACGGCGAGTCACCGCCGCCCCTTGCCTTTTTGAGTCGCCCATGTGGCCGAGCGTTGTGGCAAGAGCTCTGCCAAAATGTGCGGCGCAATCAGTGGTGCAAGATCGGTGCCCTATGATTGGTGCCAGCTGTAGGGCACCAACCATGGGGCAGCGACCATACAGCACTGACCAGCAACGGTAGACTGCGCACCTAAGGGAGGCATAGGTCACACAGCAGCAAACATCGAGCGCCAGTCATAGGCCACAGACCTGTAACGGCCCATCGGGGCCCACAGGGAACCGTAGGGCAACGACAACGAGATACTGGCCATAGGGTACCAACCGGGCACGGCCGACATGGGCCCACAGTCGGAGAAGAGCAAGCATGGCACAAACATCAGCTTTTGCCGTTCCGCGCGGATTTCTGGGATCCGCGCTGGGCCCTCCCGGCGGCGCTTCCGGCGGAGCGCAGCGCGGATCCAAGAAGTCCGCGCGGAGCGCCAACAGTGTATGCTTAGGGCGTGCTTTTTTCGTCATCGGGTACCAACCGGGGGGGCAAGGCCGACTTGGGCCCACGGGGAGCCAGGGGGCACCAGCCGTGGGGCAACGACCACACGGTACCGGCCGAGGGGAAACTCAGCATTGGGAAGTCGAATCCGCAGCGGCGAGTCACAGGTTTCCCCTCCTCTTCCTCCTCCACCTCCTCCTCCTCCTCCTCCTCTTCCTTTTCCTCCTCCTCCTCTCGGAGCTTGAGGCGGCCGCCCAGGGGGAAAATTGAATCTCGAGCGAGCTGGCGGGCCTCGTTGCTACCCAGCGCCCCAGTTCGTCCCTGCCGTCGCCGTCGTCACGGTCGAGGCCAGACAGCACGCCATAGCATATCAGCGTTCCAGCTCGGTTCGTCAACATCTCAGCCATTGCGTCTCAGCGGCAGAGGAGGAGGAGGAGGAGGAGGAGGAGGAGGAGGAAGAGTAGGATAAATTAAGAGGAGGATTAGGAAGAGGAGGAGGAGCAGGAGGAGGAGGAGGAGGAGGTGGACGAGGAGGAAGAGGAGGAGGATCAATTAACAGGAGGAGTAGGAAGAGAAGGAGGAGGAGGAGGTGGACGAGGAGGAGGAGGAGGAGGACGAGGAGGATGAATTAAGAGGAGGATAAGGAAGCGGAGGAGCAGGAGGAGGAAGAGGAGGACCTGGATGAGGAGGAGGAGGATTAATTCAGAGGAGGATTAGGAAGAGGAGGAGCAGGAGCAGGAGGAGGAGGAGGAGAGGAGGAGGAAGCGACGCCGCATCAATCGAGACCAGGCGCGCGCAGCCCACCCGTATTCTCGTCGCCCAGAGGGAAGGCATGTAGCAGTCGACGTGGCCGCCTTTGGCACAGCGCTGCATCTCTCGTGGAGGAGGACGAGAGCAGGAGGAGGCACAGCGCTGCATCTCTCGGACAGGTGGCGAGAACAATCGAAGAAGAAAAAACGCCATCAACATAAACTTCTGGCGCTCCGCGCGGATTTCTTGGATCCGCACTGGGCCCCCCTCCTTGGCGCGCTCCGCGCGCCAGGGAGGGTGGCACGAGACGACAGACGAACGACGGACGAAGACAGGGTCGACGGAGGAGGCGCAGGGGCGAGGAAGGGAGCATGGGGAGGGGGGGGGGGGGGGAAGGGCGCGCGGATGGCGCCAGCGCCCGGCGCAGCCCCGCTCAGCCTGGGCCTCAGCCAGGACCCACATCACAGGCTCGCGGAGTCCGTCAATTGCCAAACCCTGGGGTGTTGCAAAGTTTTGGGTGGCCCACAAGGGGGTCCAGCTGATAGGGGGGGGTGTAATAGATGTGGGGCCATTGTAGTGCAAATGTATCGCGCTGGAAAAATCTAGTGCGTTGCGTGGCAAATAATGTATTGACACGAAAATGCAGCAGTACATCTGCGCGCCGAAATATATTGCACGCCCCAAATGGGTTGCAACCCCACAGATCGATGGCACCAGATCTATTGCACCACCCCTTTTTGTTGCTGGACCCCCTTTTCCGGGTCAGCCCGAGTAGTGGGGGGTGGTACATGGAGAGGTGAAGACAGATGTTCTTTTGGAGACCTAGAAGGGGCTTGGGGCCCCCTGGGGCCCAAAACATGGTCACGACAGGTGTACGTTACTCTCCTCCCCCCCATGGATTGCCCCTCGCTCAAGCCGCGCCCGAAGCCATTTCTGTCGTGGTGTTGTGCGCGGCCCGAGGGCGTCAGGGTGTCGCCCAGGGTCGCGGCTACGTGGCGGCGTAGGTCCGGAGGGGAAAATACTGACAGACACAATTAATCGGCGATCCCCAGGAATATATGGAGAAACATGGGAAGTGGAGGGGGAGACGAACATCGAGGGACTCTTCAAAAGTAAAGGTGGATCCTGGGAGCGGAAAGCTAGGGGAGGTGGGGGGGGGAAGACGAAAGTCAAGACAATCTTCGAAGGTAAGGGGGAAAATCCTGGGATCTGTGCTTGTTTATTTGTGTGTCCCGCCCAGGCAGCCAGCGCCTCTGTCGCGCGCGCGCGGCGCGCGCGCGCGGAGAGGACGTGTACTTCAAGGACAGCGCGCTGCCGCAGGGCCTGGAGGCCCGCCCTGCGAGCGTTAAGTTGGGCATGTCCCTCTGCAGGAGGAATTATTCCAAAATAGTCGAAACGTAGCATGGGGACGACGTCCTGAGCATTTTTTGTCGTCTTCGAGTATCTATTTTTTTTTTAGAAAGAAAGGATGGGGACGATTTTCATATTGTTTTTGTTCCATCTCCCGATTTTCTGAATATTTGTTTAAACATGTGTTCGTCCAAAACCCGCCTGTGGGAGGACACGCCCGACCTAATCCGAGTGCCGGGCCTCGGAGGAGGACGGGGGGCCCGAGGAGGGCCATGGGAGCAAGCAAGCAAATCGAGCCGGTGGTCACGGGGGGTGAGGTGACCTCAATTCGGCGAGCGAGGGGGGGAAATGAGAAGGACAAGGCTTTCACAGAAGGCGGCGGGAGCTCTCAGACGCCCTCGCGCCTTCTGAGAAGTCGTTCCTGTCCTTCGGGGAAGGCTTAGAATATATTTCTCAGGAGGCCGGGGGACTTCCGAACCTTCTGAGAAGGCCTTCTCCTTCTCACTTCCTCCCCCTCGTTCGCCGCCGATCACTGGGGGTCAGAGCCCCGAATCATCAGGTGTAACTCGGGTCAAGGGTAACTCGGGTTCCTTTTTCGGGAGTCCGAACCCGACTTACCCCGGACCCGAGTTACCCCGGATAACTCGGGCGTCCAGAGCCCCGAATCATCAGGGGTAACTCGGGTCAGGGATAACTCGGGTTCCTTTTTCGGGAATCCAAGCCCGAGTTACCCCGGACCCGAGTTACCCCGGATAACTCGGGCGCCCAAGGGGGGGGGGAGGGGGAGCCATAAAGGGTTCCTTTAGGGACCCCTTTTGGAGCCAGCGGGTGCCCGAAAGTCCTCTAGGGTTCCTGTCTTCACCCCCCGTCGGGTCTCCCTCCACGGCCACCCGCCGTGTCGTCGTTTTCTTATTTTTTGTTTTCCCTATCGGCGCGGGCCCCCCCTACCCCGCCCCCTGGAGTATCGGGCTGGGCGAAAGGGGGGGATTGGGAAAGGGGGGGTTACGAAATCTGCTGCATGCAGCTGGTTTCGGCCTCACCGAGGGGCCCATTCCTCGATACACGGGCGCCTCTGGCGCCGGGAGGCGCCGGGAAAATCAGCTACGCGAGCTGATTCTCACCCCCCCCCCTTTGCTATCCCCCCCTTTCGCCCGACCCGAGAGTAGACCTTGGCTATTCTGGGCGCCTGTTTCAAGCAGGTGGGGTCTTACCCAGGACGCACTGATGCGAACAGTCGCATGAAGCAGAGCACCAGAGCCAGACACCCCCCGCTCCCCCCCTTCCTCCCAATGCCGATCCGCCGAATAAGAAAACGTTCGCCGTCCAGAAGGACGCGTCGGCAGACTCGAGGTTGCGCCGTTGGCAAACGAGGGAAACAACTTCAGGCAAATGCTGAACATCCTGGCTATGGGTGGAGGCAGAGAGGGAAGGAAGGAGGGGCCATGGCGACAATTGGCGTGACCGCGGGGGGAGGGGAGGGGGGAGGGGGTCGGGCACGCCGCGTGAAGAATGGCTCGGTCCCAGACGGCGCTGGCGCGAATCGTGGCGTGACCAGGGAGGGGGGCAGAGGGGGGGGGTGGGGCCGGTCGCGGCAGCTATCGCGAGCGGGTTCCAGGAGGAGACCTCTCCGGCATTGCTCGAACGTGTGCACTGTTCCTCGGCGAGGACCATCGAGGAGCAACCTCGATCATCGAGCCAGAAGCACGCACGAAACCGGAAAAGGCACGGGGAATGGACGTCCGAGCGATGGCAAGGAGAGGGAGAAAGGTTGGAGCCGGCTTGGGGGGTCCGAGGTGGCGCAGCATTGGTTCCGACCAGCAGGAAGGGGGGGGCAGGTTCGAAGTTTCTGGGTCCGGGAAGGTTTTTGGGAACTGTTATTTAGGCCCGTGACCGTCAAACATGGATATGGGGTGGCAGAATTCAAGAGATTGACACCAGGTGGGGTCCCGGAGCAGATTTTAAGTGGTGTTGTCTTTATGCTCCCGTCTTGACCGATTTTCTCGGGGCCCATGCAGCTCAATCTCTCCGAGGAGGAGGGCAACAGGAGCTGGGCTACGTTGTCGTCATTACGCGCGTCTTGATCACAGTGTAGGGTGGTGACCAAATCGCCGTGGCTACCAGGAGGAGGAGGAGGAGGAGGAGGAGGAGGAGGAGGAGGAGGAGAAGAATCTTGAGGAGGAGGAGGATGGAAAGGACCGCGGGAGGAGGAAGGGGAAAGGAGGAGACGTAGGGGCAGAAGGATGAGGGGGGCCACAGGCGGGAGGATGAGGAGAGGGAGGAGGAAAAACCTCCTCCTCCTCCTCCTCCTCGTCACCCTCGTCCTCCACTTCCTCGTCCTTCCCTCCACCTCCCCGAGGAGGACCCTCTACTTCCTCCACCTTGCCAATGTCGCCCGCGTCCTCCGTTCTTTCTCCCCGCTTCCTCCCCCCCCTCCCCCGCTCCCCCCTTTTCTCCCCCCCTGTCGGTCGGGCCTCAGCTCCCACTTCGGAAGCATTGTTGTTGCTGGCCCATCTTGTCTGGCGCGCGCTGTTCTTCAGTCAGGCTTTGCCTGAGGGGTTCTGATGTGTGTTTGAAGAGCCGGTGGGTGGGTGCCCTGGGCGACCACTTTTCTTCGGGTTGCCTTGATGTTGTTTCCTTACCGTCCAAGAAGAGAAGACGCTATAAACAGAAACTTTCGGAGCTCCGCGCAGATCTCTTGGATCCGCGCTGGGCCCCCCTGGTGGCGCATCGGGTGACACCCCTGGCGCGCTCCGCGCGCCAGGGAAGGGGGTCCAGCGCAGATCCAAGAAATCCGCGCGGAGCTCCGAAAGCTTATGTTTATGCAATTTGTTCTGCCTCTATGGGCGACCGGTTTTCTTCGGGCTGACTTGATCTTGTTTCCTCACAGTGCCTCCCTCCTGGGTACGATGTTTCGAGTATGTTTCATCCAAAATCCGCCTGAAGGGGAACATGCCCGACCTAAGTCCTGGTTCGTTTTGGCCTTCCTCGGGTTCCCTGTCAACGCTCATGGTACGATTGGGTGACATTCCCAAGGGTCCCCTGGTATCCATGCCTGTTCGGCCTATGTTTCGGCACCCCTGACTAACTAAGCTCAAAGCACTTCAGCCTGGGCGTCCGAGGGGCTCGCACCCTCACCGCGCCTCCTGGCTGTACGCGTCGGCCGCCTCCCCCAAGGCGGGCCCCCGCCTGCCCTCCCCCCCACGACAAGGCCGCCGCCGCCGACGGCAGCCTGGTGGGCACGGCGGTGCCGCGGCCGCTCGACCCCGAGCGCCGCCGCCTCCGTCTTCCTCCATCGCCGCCGCGTGGAAGGAGTGAGAAGGAGGAGGACGAGGAGAAGGAGGAGGAGGAGGACGAGGAGGAGGAGGAGGAGGAGGAAGAGGAGGAGGAGGAGGACGAGGAGGATGATATGGCGGAGGAGGAGGATATGGCGGAGGAGGAGGAGGAGGGGGAGGGGGAGGAGGTGGAGGAGGAGGAGGAGGATGGGAGGGGGAGGAGGTGGAGGAGGATCTGGCGGAGGAGGAGGAGGAGGAGGAGGATGGGGGGGGAGAAGGTTGAGGAGGAGGAGGAGATGGCTGGATGAGGAGGACGATGAGGAAGACGAGGAGGAGGATAGGAGAGGTAAGGAGGAGGAGGAGAGGAGGAGGAGGAGGAGGAGGAGGGAGGAGGCAGGCGGCAGGAGGAGGAGGAGGAGGAGGAGGAGGAGGAGGAGGAGGAGGAGGAGGAGGAGGAGGAGGAGGAGGAGGGGGAGGAGAGGAGGGAGGAGGAGGAGGAGGAGGAGGAGGGGGTAGGCGGAGGAGGAGGAGGGGGAGGCGGGTGAGGCGGAGGAGGAGGAGGACGAGGAGGAGGAGGAGAAGGAGGAGGAAGAGGAAGAGGAGAAGGAGGAGGAGCAGGCGGATGATGATGGTGAGGAGGAGGAAGGAGGAGGAAGGAGGAGGAGGAGGATGGGAATGATAATGAGGAGGAGCAGAAGGAACCGGAGGATAGGGCGGGAGGGAGGGGGAGGAGGATGCCTGGAGTGCTGCTGCGTCGGTGGCAAGTCTTGGGAGCCCCGCGTGCCCTCTTACTTAGCTGTTGTTTCGTCGACGAGCGTCGGTCGAGGAGCGCCTGGTAGCCGATGAGATAGCACAAATTTAGCGTCGACTCGCCGCGAGGAGGGAGGGAAGGGGGATGCTTGGAGTGCTGCTGCGTCGGTGGCAAGTCTTGGGAGCCCCGCGTGCCTTCTGATTCCATTGATTTTTCGCCGACGCGCATCGAGGAACGCTTGGTGATCGATGCACTAGAGCAGATGTAGCGTCGATCTGCCGCGAGGGGGGAGGGAGGGGGATGCTTGGAGTGCTGCTGCGTCAGTGGCAAGTCTTGGGAGCCCCGCGTGCCCTCTTACTTCCGTTGTTTTTGCGTCGGCACGCGTCGGTCGAGGAACGCTTGGTGATCGATGCACTAGAGCAGATGTAGCGTCGATTTGCCGCGAGGAGGGAGGGAGGGGGATGCTTGGAGTGCTGCTGCGTCAGTGGCAAGGCTTGGGAGCCCCGCGTGCCCTCTTACTTCCGTTGTTTTTTCGTCGGCACGCGTCGGTCGAGGATCGCTTCGTGATCGATGCAATCGAGCCGATTTAGCGTCGATTCGCCGCGAGGAGGGAGGGAGGAGGATGCCTGGAGTGGTGGGAGCCCCGTATGCCCTCATGTTTCTGTTGCGTTTGCGTCGACGAGCGTCGGTCGAGGAGCGTTTGGTGATCGATGCGATAGCGCAGATCCAGCGTCGATTCGCCGCGAGGCGGGAAGGAGGAGAATGCTTGGAGTGCTGCTGCTTCGGTGGCAGTCCTCTTACTTCCGTTGCTTGTGCGTCGACAAGCGTCGGTCGAGGAACGCTTGGAGATCGATGAGATAACTTCGATGTAGCGTGGATTCGCCGCGAGGAGGGAAGGAGGAGGATGGCTGGACTGCCGCTGCGTCGGTGGCAAGGCTAGGGAGCCCCGTGTGCCCTCGCACTTCCGTTGCATTTGCGTCGACCACCCTCGGTCGAGGAGCGTCTGGTTAGTCGATGAGATAGCGCTGCGTTAGCGTCGCTGGTAGGGCAGGCTGCTTGTCTCGCCTGAGAGTTCCTCGCCGCCGATCCGTTACTTTGACTGTTGGAAGCATCGGCAGCTGCACGGTTGCAGCCCAGTCGTTGTTTGGTGCTGCCGCGGTCCCGCACACATGTTGCCGCCAAAGTGTGGTTCTCGCTCCGGCGTCCGCAGGGACGCCGGCTCGCGCACGCAATCAATGCGCGCGCTATCGGGCGACCGCCGCACGGGCGGCAGGCGGCTCTCGTTCCAACGGGCAGCTCTCTGCACAGATCGTCGACCGAATTTGCCCAGGAGGAGGAGGAGGAGGAGGAGGAGGAGGAGGAGCCTCCAAGGCCGTAAGGGAGGAGGAGGAGGAGGAGGAGGAGGAGGAGGAGGAGGAGGAGGAGCCTCCAAGGCCGTAAGGACGCAGGGAAGTTCTTTGTTCAGCACGGGGCTTGTGCGAGCGGCAGTGCGTGGGGCGCTCGTCTCTCCAACGGGGGCGCTTCGTGCAGTGGCGAGGACCAGGGCTGGACCCAAACGGTGTTTTGGCGATTTCGTGGGCCGTTTTCGTTTCGATGTCGTTTTGCTGTAGAGGCGGATTGAGGACAAAACGAGAACAACCCGAGCACGAACACCTCTGCTTAGGTCCAGCCCTGACAAGGACGCAGGGGAGCTCCCTGTTCAGCATGGGGCCTGTGCGAATGGCAGTGCACGGGGCGCTCGTCTCTCGAGGGGGCGCTGCGTGTGGTGGCGAGGGCGTGTCTTGCCAGACCTGATGGGGAGGGGGCATGGCACGAGTGCCCGTCAGCACCGCTGGTGCACGTGTGATCTGCCGTCTGCCCGGCCAGCCCCCTCATCTGCCTCTCCGCCCGATCTCCGTCCCCTCCCTCATATGTAGTCGCCTTGTCTCCATCCTTGCACAACACATCCGTCTGCCCTCCTCCTCTACCTCTTCGCTCACCCTCTTCTGGCTCATCATCGTCATCCTTGCCCCCCTCGGCCCTCCGCCTCTGGCTGCCGGAGCAGGATTGTCGAAGACGCCTACGGCGAATCACCGCCGCCCCCTGCCCCTTTGGAAGCGCCTCTGTGGCCGACAGCTGGGCCAGAGCTTGGCCAAGCTATCGGGACAGTTGTTCCCCGAGTCGGTTTGGAAAGACTTCGGGGAACGCGTGGGGGAGCAAGAAGAGGAGGACGGGGATGAGGATGAGGAGGAGGAGGATGAGGAGGAGGATGCGGCCTCTTGGGCGCCTCTTGGGGCACTCTTGGGGCCTCCTGGGAGCTCCCTGGGGGCCTCTTGGAGGTTTTTTGGGGGGCCTTTGGGTGCTTCTTGGGGGCCTCTTTGGCCGTCTTAGGGCGTTCCTGGCTTGTCTGACGCCGTCGGAAGCCGTCTTGGGGGCCTGTCTGGGTCGTCTTGGGGCCCTCTTGGGGCATCTCAGGGGTTCTTAGAGGCCATCTTGGGCGTCTTGGAGGCCTCTAGGGCCGTTTGGGGGCCAGCTTGGGGCCGTCTTGGGGGCCTTTTGGGTCGTCATGGGGCCATCTTGGAGGCCTCTTGGGGCGATCTTGGGGCCTCTTGCGCCGTCTTGAGCCATCGGGATGCCGAGAAGAAGCACATGCCAAAATCTTTCAACGCCTTAAGGAAAATCGATGATTTTGGCATCTTCGTGCCCTCCTGGAAGACCTCCTGGACGCCTTTGGGGCCGTCTTGGAGGCCTCATGGGGGGCCTCTTGGGCCATCTTAGGCCGTCTTGGAGGCATCTTGGGCCGTCTTAGCCGTCTTGGAGGCCATGTTGGCCGTCTTGGAGGCCTCTTGGGACCGTTTTGGGGGCCTCTTGGGCCGCCATGGGGCCATCTTGGAGGCCTCGTGGTCGATCTTGGGGGCCTCTTGGGCCGTCTTGAGCCGTCGGAATGCAGAAAAGAAGCACATGCCAAAATCCTTAAAACCACCTTGGGACAATCAATGATGTTGGTCTCTTCGGGCCCTCCTGGAGGACCTCTTGGCGGCCTCTTGGGCCGTCTTGGAGGCCTCTTGGGGGCCTCTAGGGCCGTCTTAGGCCATCTGGAGGCAATCTCAGGCCGTCTTGGGTGCATCTTGGGCCGTCTTGGAGGCATCTTGGGGCCATCTTAGCCGTCTTGGAGGCCATCTTGGGCATCTTGGGCCGTCTTGGGGCCCTCTTGGGGGCATCTTGGGGGCCTCTTGGGCCGTCATGGGGCCATCTTGGAGACCTCTTGGGCGATCTTGGGGCGATCTTGGAAGGCCTCTTGGGCCGTCGAAAGGCCGAAAAGGCGACAATGCCAAACTATTTATTAAAAAGAAACAAAGAAGAACAAACAACAAAAGCACTAAAGGACAATCAATGTGTTTGCCCTTTTCGGGCCTTCCTGGAGGACCTTTTGGAGACCTCTTGCGCCGTCTTAGAGGCCGCTTGGAGGCCTCTTGGAAGCCTCTTCGGCCGTCTTGGGCCATCTGAGGCTGTCTTGAGTGCATCTTGGCTCGTCTTGAAGGCATCTGAGAGCCATCTTAGCCGTCTTGGAGGCCATCTTGGCCGTCTTGGAGGCGTCTTGGAGGCCATCTTGGCCGTCTTGGAGGCGTCTGGAGCAGGACAAACCCTTTGCAACCACCTCTGGGCAATCTTTCCGGGTGGCCAGCGGGACGGGCCGAAGCCCCCGGGGGAGTTCTTGAGAAAAAGAACCCACACCAAAACCGAAAGGGTCTAGCACGCCAGGCACCTTTGCGATGAATCGACAGGGGGCGGCGGATCGAAGACGCCTACGGCGAATCACCGACGCCCCCTGCCTTTTTTGGAAGCGCCTGTGTGGCCGATCGTTGAGGCCAGACCTGCCAAGCTATCGGACCATGTGTTCCCCGAATCGGTTTGGAAAGCCTTCGGGGAACACGTGGGCATCTTAAAGGTCATCTTGGCCGCCTCAAGGCCATTGAGGGCTCTTGAGCCGTCTTGGAGGCCATCTTGAGCGTCCTGGAGGCCTCTTTGGGCGTCTTTGGGGCCTCTTGGGGCAGTCTTGGGCCGCTTGGGCGATCTATGGGGGCACTTGGGCCGTCTCGGGCCGTCGGAAGGCCGAACAACAATCAAATGCCACAATCCTTCAATAACTCATGGGAGATCAATGATTTTGGCCTTTTCTGGCCTTCCTGGAGGCCCTCTTGGAGGCCTCCTGGGTAGTCTTGGGCCATCTTAGTGCCATCTTCGGCCGTCTTGGTGGGCCCCTGACCCGTCCGACGCCGTCGGACGCCGTTTGGGGGGCCTCTCTGAGCCGACTTGGGGCCCTCTTGGAATGCAAGAGGGCCGTCTTGGAGGCCATCTTGGGCGCCTTAAAAACCTCCTGGGCCGTCTTGGGGGCCTCTTGGGGCCGTCTTGGGGGCCTCTTGGGCCGTTCTGGTGCCATCTTGGAGGCCTGTTGGGCGATCTTTCGGCGCTCTTTGGGGGCTCTTGGGCCGTATCGGGCCATTGGAAGGCCGAAACGAAGCAAATGTCAACATCCTTCAAACACCTAAGGGGAAATCAATGTTTTTGGCCTTGTCGGGTCATCCTGGAGGCCCTCTTGGAGGCCTCTTGGGCCGTCTTGGGCCAGCTTCGAGCCAACTTCGGTTATCTTGGTGGGCTCCTGGCCCGTCGGACGCCGTCGGAAGCCGTTTGGGGGGCCTGTCTGGGCCGGCTTGGGGCCCTCTTGGGGTGCTCCAGGGCCGTCTTAGAGGCCATCTTGGGCGTCTTGGAGGCCTCTTGGGTCGTCTTTGTGCCCTGTTGGGGTCGTCCTGGGGGCCTCTCGGGCAGTCCTGAGGCCATCTTGGAGGCCTCTTGGGCGCTGTGGGGGCGATCTTGGGGGCGGGCCGTCTTGGGTCGTCGGAAAGCCGAGAAGAAGCGAATGCCAACATCCTTCAAACACGCAAGGAAAATCACTGATTTGGGCCTCTTCGGGCCCTCGTGGAGGACCTCTTGGAGGCCTCTTGGGCCGTCTTGGAGCCTCTGGGGGGCCTCTTTGGCCGTCTTGGACTCTCTTGGGCCGTCTTGGAGGCCGTCTTGGACCGTCTTGGGCGGACTTGGAGGCCATCTTGGGCGAACGTGGCCATCCTTGGCGACCATCTTGGGCTATCTTGAGCGACACATTGGGGAATTGTGCTCCTTGAGGTCCGTTCTGGGTGGCCGGTGGGACGGGCCGAAGCCCCAGGTGGAGTTCTTCTGGAAAAAGAACCCACACCAAAACCGAAGGGTCCAGCACGCCAGGCGCCCCTGCGATGAATCGACAGGGGGCGGCGAATCTAAATGGCCTTCGGCCCATCCCGCCACCGTACCTGGGTTGTGAGTATGAAGCCTACTGGATGTTCGTTGGGATCTCGTGGGAGGCCTCTCGGGGTTCTTGGAGGCAATTTGGACGCCTCTTGGGGGCCGTGTCGGGGCCTCTTGGGGCCTCTTTTGCGCCTCTTGGGGGCTTCTTGGGGCCTCTTTGGGGCCTTTTTGGGGCCTCGTGGGGCCTCCTGGGCGCATCTTGGGGCCTCCTGGGGGCCTCTGCGAGCGGTTCGGTTCGTGTTCCCTCTTTTGGAACCGTTTTGGGGCCGTGGTATGGGGATGGGGAGGTGTGACAGAGCAGGAAGAGAAAGGCCAAGGGGGTGGATAAGACGAGAGAAGGATGTGGATACCGACGGGGCAACATGAGGAAGGGGAGCGCTCAGGACGAAGGGAGGCGGTGGAGGAGGAGGAGGAGGATCAGCAGGAACGAAAACGGAGAGGAGGGAGGGGTGACTGTTGCCCGGGGTCCCTAACGCGCGGTTGCACGAAGTGGTTGTGTGGAGTCTGAAGTTCTTGGCCTTGTTGCTTCACCCTGGAGCAACTACAGGACTTCTCCAATGAGACCATAGACCCTCCAGGCAACGGAAAGTCGGTAGGGTAGGCTTTCCTTGGCGCTCAATGGTGCGACCTGTCGCAAAGCACTCGCTACTCCTCCTCGCACATACAAAACACACATACATACAAACCACTCCACCATACGGCAGACTGTTTCGATGGAGTTGCATGGGTGCTCATTCGCGGCATCCCTCTTCCTCGCTTTCCCTCTTCGCGACAATTGCGGCGGAAAAGCAACGGAAGCAAGATGCTGCTCGCCGTCGCCAGGTGCGGTTCGTGGTGAAGCTGGCCGCCGACGGGAAGCCGCAGTTGAGGGACCGCGCCGCCCGCGGCACAGCCCGCAACGGTCGAGAACAGCTCCGGCCGAGAACAGCAGATAGCAACGACGACGATGACGACGACGAGGACGAATGAGGGGTGGAGGAGGCGCAAGAGGACGCGGAGGAGGCCTTCTCTCTGGCTCGTCCTCCGCCCTCTTCTTCCTCTCTTTCACGTGTCCTCCTGTCGCTCCTCTTCGTGTCGCCCCACCATCGGTATCCCTTTCCTCAGGGGTCGCCCCCCGTTACCCGCCCTTCTTGGCTGGGCTGCTATGCTGGCGTTTGCACCGCGCCCTCCCCCCCCCACCCCTCATCAGTGCGACCTGCAGTGCCACTCTAGTTACTAGGACCGCTGCTCGCGCGCTGGTGGGGACAGGATGGGAGGAGGAGGAGGAGGAGGAGGAGGAGGAGGGAGGAGGAGGAGGAGGAGGAGGACAAGGTGAAGGAGGAAGAGCTGGAGGAGGAGATGAGGAGGAGATGAAGGAGGAGGAGAAGGAGGAGGAGAAGGGGGAGGCGGAGGAGGAGGAGGAGGAGGAGGATCGCCCCCAGGACCTGGTCCTCGAGGGGGAGACGGTATCCTACGCACCCGCCGCGCCCCAGCAGGCGGGCGGCGGTCGGGGGGAGACTGCGGGGGGAGGAGGGGGGCGGAACGGCAGATTGGCGGGGAGGGCGCCGACGTCGGGCCGGGCCCCAGAGGGGGGGGGGAGAGATTTTGGGCGGGGAAGAGGAGGAGGGAGGAGGAAGCAGAGACGGAGGGAGGAGGAGGAGGAGGAGGAGGAGGAGGAGGAGGCGGAGGTGGATGTGGAGGAGGAGGAGGAGGAGGAGGAGGAGGAGGAGGAAGAGGAGGAGGACAAGGGAAGCAGGAGGAGGAGGAGAGGAGGAGGAGGGAGGAGGTGGAGGAGGAGGAGGAGGAGGAGGAGGAGGAGGATGACAAGGAGGAAGGAGATGATGAGGAGGAGGAGGAGAAGGTGGAGCGGGAGGAGGCGGGGGGGGGCCGACAATGGGAATGGCACCCGTGGCGAGGGGCTTGTCGAAGACAAAGACGAGACACACATCTACACAAACAGCTTTCGGATGTTTCTCAGATCGGCACTCGGGCCGCCAGGGGCGGCGCCTCCAGCTCCGCCTCTGGCACCGCCTCTGACGCTTTATGCGCGCCATGGGAGGGGCCAGTTCTCCTTCTGTTGAGGAGGAAAGTGGTGAGGTCGACCGCGAGCAAATGGCCGTGGAAGCAGGAGGAGGATGGGGAGGAGGAGGAGTAGGAGGAGGAGGAGGAGGAGGAGGAGGAGGGGGAGGGGGAGGACGAGGAGGACGAGGAGAAGAGGTTTGAGCTGTAGATCTCCCCTCTTCTCGGGTCGGACGCCAGCGAGGGATAGGGAAATGGGAGGCTACGAGGTCTGCTGCTCGCAGCTGGTGTCGGCTTCGCCGCCATGCCCTTTCCTCGAGCCCGACGGCTGAGGCCGGAGCCCTTTGGCAAGACGTGGGGCCTCCGGCCCTCTGGAGGGCGGGAGGGCGAAGGGGGGGGGAGGCGAGGAGGCGAGAAGGAGGGGAGGAGGAGGAGGAGGAGGAGGAGGAGGAGGAGGTGCTCGGAAAGTCAGTTGCGTGAGCTGGTTCCGAACCACCCCCTTTGCTTGACTCGACGTCGTCCGGCCCGCTCTTCGCCCCTCCGGAATATATCGCTTCCCGTCGTCCCCGCCGTGTTGTCGTTCTCCTTCCTGCCACAGCTGACCGCCCTTGTCTTCCAGCTGATGGCACTGCTCCTCCCCAAGCCCTGGGTGTTGGGCCAGGGACAGGGAGGTTCGATGGCGCCAGATCTGACGACATGCGTAGTCGCCACCAGCGACAGCGTCACGAGGACGAGCGGGGAGAAGGAGGGAGGAGGAAGTGGAGTGGAGGAGAAGGGAAGAAGTCGAGAAGTAGCAGGAGGAGTAGTTAGGAGGAGGAGGAGGAGGAGGAGGAGGAGGAGGAGGAGGAGGAGGAGGAGGAGGAGGAGGAGGACGGTGGAGAGGGAGGGACTGGCGGGGCCAGCAGCGGGCAGGGATGGCAGGGAGGCCGAAGCGGCGGAGGCCGGCGGAGCAGGGACGCAGGCGGGGCGGGAGAGGTTACGACGAAGGATCTGCCAATCCGGCTGCTGCATCCGCTCTCCGTCCACTCTCCTCTAGAAGTAGGAAAGGGGTATGGTATAAAGGGGTAAGATGCGAATATGATGTAAAGGCGAATCTGGCGATGTTTTTTTGTCGCAGATAGCATCGCCATTTTCCACGATTGGCACCATACCCCTTTATGCCACACCCCTTTCCGACCTCCAAATCTCCTTTCCCGTCTCGCCCGTGGTGTGGGCCACAGGGCTCTGGCATCCTCGGCCGGCCGGCCGCGGAGGATGCTCGATGCTGTATGGCCGTTCTGCCTGTGTCGGGGCCCTCTGGGGATCTCCAGAGATCTGCTGCGGCCTCCGGGCAGGGCGGCGGAGGGGCGGCAACAGTGAATGAGGGTGCGGAGCAGGAAAGGTGGCAGGAGATGGAGGGGGGGGTGATGGAGGGAGGAGGAGGATGCGGAGGAGGAGAAGGAGGAGAAGGAGGAGGACGGAGCATGAGGAGGAGGAGGAAGTGGAGGAGGAGGAGGAGGAGGAGAAGAAAGAGGCGGAGGTGAGAAGGACGCCGAGGGAGCAGGCAGAGGAGGAACAGCGAGGAAGCAGTGGGGGGGGAGGTGACGAGGAGGAGGCATCGCGGATGAGTAAGTGGGCAGGGGTGAAGAGGATCAGGGGCGGAAGGATGTTGCAGGACAGAGATGAGAGGAAGGCGAGGAGGAGAGATGGGTGAGGACGCAGGAGCCAGAGTAACAAGCAAGGCGGAGGAGATGGGGCTTGGGAGGAGGAGGAGGAGGAGGAGGAGGAGGAGGAGGAGGAGGAGGAGGAGTGGGAGGAGGAGGAGGAGGAGGAGACAAGGGAGGGAGGGAGGGAGGAGAGAAAGAAGGGAAGGACAGTATTGTGTGGATGACGGGAAAACGCAGGATGCTACAACTCTTCTGCACTTCGCCCTCCCGTCTCGAGCCCCCCTCTTCAGTTCATACGTAATCAAGGGAGGGAAAACCACCCGGACGTGACAGCTGACGTTCACTGAGCGGCCTTGGGCGTTTACTGAACAGCCATGCCCTGTTCGATTCCTCCCTTGAGTGCGTTTGCTAAACGGCGTCGCTTGTCGGGGTGATTCATAGGGTTACCAGTTTGAAACATCTCCCGATCCTTATGTTTGCCATCACCTCACCTCGATGCCGATCTTCGGGATCTCCCCGGCCTCTGAGGGCACATCCCCAAGGTCCTGCCGATCTCAGGGATAGGGATGTTCGAGTCTGGTTATGTTGGGGTGGATTTTCTGCCCTCGATATGCAGCAGCCCTTGGCAACTTTGAACTTGAACGCCGCGGGCGACCCAGAATCGTTCGATGTGGAACGAGTTGGACGTTTCGGGAACGGTCGATCGCTCACGGCTGAACGATCCCCGCGGTGCCAGAAACCAACGCCGAAGTCGGCACGACACGAACCCGACGTATCTAAGCTCCGGCAAGTACTTGTCTCCACTGCGGTCAGGTCGGGCGTGTCCCCCATGCGGGGGGGGTTTTGCAGACACACAAAGCATACTCAAAACATGCCCCCCTGAATGAGTAGACAGTAGTCGAAACATCGCCCTCGTACTATAGATATATATTGTGTAGAAAATCAGAGCAGCAGAGCAGAGCAGAGCGGCCCGTGGGGAGGCGGGAAGTCCGCCTGCCCCGGCAAGGCGCCGGGCCGACATAACCGGCGAGGTGTGGAAATATCGCAACGTTTGAAGACAGTGAAACAGCAGTGCGATATGACACAAACTGCCGCGGCGCGGCGTGACAGACGTGAAGCATCAGTGTAGAAAATCAGCAACCACTATTTCTGAACGTGCCCCCGGTAGAGGGGAGGGGCTCCGCGCTTCTTAAGTGTTTCACAGCTTGCCTCGGGTGTTCCTTATGTTTTCGATAGGAAATCGAAGTTTAACTTCTCGAGAAAAGGAGCCTCGTTCCTTATTTAGGGTTCCTTAGGTCAACGCCTCGACTGTGTTTCTGAACGTTCCCCCCGTAGAGGGGCAGGCCCGACTTCACACTGCGGACCGCCCCGCCCTTCCAAGCCACGGGCGCCCGGTGGGCCTGCCTCCCGACGGGGCCCCCGCCGCGGTGCGGGGCGACCCGCGCTCCCGCCCGCCCGGCCCAGCTCACGCAAAAACGCGCGCAGAGGCACTTATCCTCCTCCTCCCCCTGATCCTCCTCCTCCTCCTCCTCCTCCTCCTCCTCCTCCTCCTCCTCCTCCTCCTCCCTCTGATCCTCCTCCTCCCCCTCCTCCTCCTCCTCCTCCTCCTCCTCCCCCTCCTCCTCGTCCTCCTCCTCCTCCTCCTCCCCCTCCTCCTCCTCCCTCCTCCCTCTGATCCTCCTCTCCTCCTCCTCCTCTCCCCCCTCCTCTCCTCCTCCTCCTCCTCCTCCTCCCTCCTCTCTCCTCCTCCTCCTCCCCCTCCTGGGATTTGATATTCGGGGGGGGGGGGGGGGCGTGGGTCTGGGCGTCGGAGTCTGTCGGGGTCGAGGCTCAAGAGGCGGGGGTCAATGCAAGCGGGGGTCAGCCAATGGCGCCGGATCTTGCTTGCGGGATCCTGCAGGACCAGGGTCGCACTGACCCGGGCTTGGGCGCAGGATCTTGCAGGATCCTTCGCACTGACCCGAGGTTTGGGTGCAGGATGTTGCAGGATTTTGCAAGGCCTGACTGACCTGGGTCTGGATTGATATCCCGGTCAGAAGATCCCCCAGGGGGGGGGGGGGCGATGAACCTTCCGACGCCAGCCGGCCAACCCCTTTTGGCCCAGGAGCTTGAGCCTCAGAATTGCCATTCATCCCCCCTCCCCCCCCCAGACCCCTCCCTGACGGCACGCGCCCATCCCCCCTCCCACACCCCCGAACCCAAGGGGGGGGGAGCGACTATTATCCCCTTCGATGAGTAGGGTGAGAAAGTGCCTCCGTCCCTGCATCTGCTGGAGCAGCTGGAGTCGAGAAAGCACGGCACCGTGGCGAGAGCCGCCGTTCCGGAGACCGCTGGCCTTCCACCGGCCGATTCCTGCTGCGGAGCACTTTGAGAACATGCGCGCGGCGCGAGGGCGAGAGTTGTGATTCGGAAAAGACTGGCCCTCCATGAGTTAGGAATTAGGAATGCGACTGGGAATCAGGAAACGGCCAACGATTGGAACTGTCGGCGTCGGGAAGATAACATGCAGTGGCAATCCAAGGATAACGCCTCGCCTGGCCTACGCACACGACTGGTGGTGCGGCCGGGGAGAGTGATGTATAAAGAGCAGGGGTGGAGGGAGGGGAGTTGGGCAGGGGATGGAGAATGAGGGGAAGGAGAGGAGGGAAGAGAACGATGGTGATGATACTGATGATGATCATCATGCTGATGATGATGATGATGCTGATACTGATGCTGCTGATGATGATGGTGATGATGGTGATGGTGATGTTGATGATGATGATGCTGATGCTGATGCTGATGATGATGATGGTGGTTTTGATACTGGTGATGATGCTAATGATGATGATTATGATGATGATGCTGATCATGATGATGATGATGGTGATGATGACTATGATGAACATCATCATGATGATGATGGTGATGATCATGATGGTGATGATGACGATGATGATGATGATGATGATGATGATGATGATGATGATGATGATGATGATGATGATGATGATGATGATGATGATGATGATGATGATGATGATGATGATGATGATGATGATGATGATGATGATGATGATGATGATGATGATGATGATGATGATGATGATGATGATGATGATGATGATGATGGTGATAATGATGATGCTGATGATGATGGAGACGACGACGCCGGCAACGACGACAACGACGTCGACGAGGAGGAGGAGGAGGAGGAGGAGGAGGAGGAGGGGCGAGGAGGGGCGAGGAGAAAAGGGACGGAGGTGGGGCGAGGAGGGAGTACGAGATGGTTGGAGGGAGGGAAGACGAAGGAGGAGGGTGAGGAGGAGTTGGAGTTGGAGTTGGAGGAGGAGGAGAAGAAGGAGGAGGAGGAGGAGGGGAGGCGATGGAAGGAGCGGAGTGCTTTCGAGTGCGCGGTCTCAGGGCCGCTCCCGAGACAAGCCGTTTTCGAGCCGCTTCCAATGTTCAAGGGGTGTCGGCGCCTTGGGGTGAAGTTTTAGCAGGGGGGGTGGAGGGGGGGCTCGTGGCCACGGCTGAACGCAGGTCTAAAGACCATTGTGCCGTCTTCTTGTCCCTTTGTTGCCAAGCCAGCGCAGCAAAGGGGACAGAGAAAAGTAGAACATCCATCGCCATGATTATGGAGGAGGGGGCATCCTATATCACGATAGTTGTGAAGGAGGGGGAGGGGAGGAGGAGGAGGAGGGAGGAGGAGGAGGAGGAGGAGGAGGAGGAGGAGGAGGAGAGGAGGAGGAGGACGACGAGGACGACGAGGAGGAGGAGGAGGAGGAGGAGGGGGAGGGGGAGGATGAGGAAGATGAGGAGTTGGAGGAGGAGGAGCGGGCGGAATTGCTGGAGAAGGAGGAGGAGGAGGGGGAGGACGCGACGACGACGCGACAATTCCAATAATCATATGATGAAGAAGAAGAAGAAGAAGAAGAAGAAGAAGAAGAGGACGAAGAACAAGAAGAAGACAACGACGACGCCGACGACAACGACGGCGACGATGACGACGCGGACCACGACGACGCCCCCCTGCGGGCGCGCGGCCCGCCCGCAGGGCGCGAAGCGCAAGGCTTGGACGCCCGCGGAGCCGGCGGCAGCGAAGAGGCGCGACCGTGCGATCGCACGCGCGCGTTTGCCGAGCCATTGCTTTTTTTTGCTTTTGCAATATCGCTGACGAGTCTTAGATTTACGCTGGTCCTCCTCCTCCTGCTCCTGGCCCTTCTCCTTCATTCGTTCCCCTCATAATCAATTTCCCCCTGTCGCACCCTGAGGCCAGTTTTTAGCCTGAGGCTTCCTGACGCTTGATGATTCTGGAGCTTCAACATGGCAACCGTTTTGCAGATGGATGGCGGGTCGTTTTCAAAATGTGGCTCTCGTCTTAGCGCTGCGCACGTTCCTTTGAAACATTTGCAAGAGGTTAACGGATTGAGGGCGGGTGGTGTTCAAAATGTGGCTCTCGCCTTAGCGCCACGCACATTCGTTTTATGAATTGGCTAGAGTTTTACTGATTGAGGGCGGGTGGTTTTCGAAATGTGGCTCTTGCCTTAGCGCTGCGTGCATTCGTTGCAACCAATACAAGAGTTTCACGGATTGAGGGCGGGTGGTGTTCAACATGTGGTTCTCGCCTCAGCGCCGCGCATATTCTTTTCAAGCTATTGCAAGAGCTTCACGAATTGAGGGCGGGTGGTTTTCAGCATGTTGATGTCGCCTTAGCGCCGCGCACACTCGTTTTAAGAATTTGCAAGAGCTTTACATATTGAGGGCGGCTCCTCTTCAAAATGTGGCTATCGCCTTAGCGCCGCGCACATTCGTTTTAAACAGTTGCAAGCATGTCGCTGGATCCCGTGATCAACGTACCAGAAGACGCGTTTTGGAAGGGTTTAGGATTTCGCGGGGGCACCAGTTATGTTGATTCGCGGTGTTGAAGTCCCAACTAAGGCGTTCTGGCACGGTTCCAGATCGTCAAGACGCAGCAGTCAGCCTTATCCTTGGCGTGGAAATCCCGGGAATAATATTTGGGCATGTTTCAAGGTCTTCAAACGGTTGTCTTCCAACGAGGCAGTTCCTTCACTGGAAATGAATCTTTGTAGGGGGCCTATGAAGAGGGAACTTGGAGGGAGGGTTGATTCCAACATCGCTGATGACTCTTGGGTTTGCACTGGTCCTCCTCCTCCTCCTCCTCCTCCTCCTCCTCCTCCTCCATCTCCTCCTCGTCCTCCTCGTCCTCCTCCTCCTCGTCCTCGTCCTCCTCCTCCTCGTCCTCGTCCTCCTCCTCCTCCCCCGTCGCAGGAGGGGCGGGGAGGGTGGGGACCCGCACTCGCCCGTTGCACCTGCCTGCCTGCGCGCGCGGGCCCTCCACTCGGCAGGGCGCCCCGCACGCGGAGGCGCGCGACGCCTTAGGGCTCGCGCGCCCCTCGGCCGACCCGCACAGCTCACAGCTCAGCACGTTGGGGGGGCCTTCGCGGGGGGGGGCGGGCCCCGCTCATCCCTGAGGTCCGGGTGCTCCTCCTCCTCCTCCTCCTCCTCCTCCTCCTCCTCCGCCTCCTCCTCCTCCTCCTCGTTTTCCTCCTTGTCCTCCTTTTCCTCCTTGTCCTCCTTGTCCTCCTGCATGGTTGGCATGGCCTCCGGCCAGTGCCGCCGATCGCGGGGGGGGCTCCAGATTCGGTGATCCTCGCGGCTCCGTGGCTTCCTCCCTCGATTCTTCGGGTCCTCTTTCTTCTCCTCTGGGGGGGTGCCTGGAGGGATGAAAAAACGACCCTACCCTAGGTTACAAGTGCGCGGTCTGTAAACCTCCTGGGAACCCCCACGGCCTCGAGCCGCCAGGACGCGGCACATCACGCAGGGTTTACCCTGTCAGCCCACAGAAGTCTCAGCGCACAGCGCCCCGTAAACCAGGGTAGGGGCGTTTTTTTCTGCCCTTGATGGAGCGGTCCCGAGGGGGGGTCCGGGGAGGGTTCCGAGGAGAGGTCCCAGTTCGGGAGGAACGTCAGCGGGAGGCGGGGCCGGCGCATCCTGGGGTCTGGGTGCCGCATGGTTTTCACAACGGGCGCTTTCGTCGGATCTCGGGCCCCAGGACCACGGATCGAGCCGACGTGACGAGTGGCTTCCTCCTCCTCCTCCTCCTCCTCCTCCTTCTCCTCCTCCTCCTCCTCCTCCTGCTCCCCCTCCCCCTCCTCCTCCTCCTCCTCCTCCTCCTCCTCCTCCTCCTCCTCCTCCTCCTGCAGCGGCAGAGAGATGGTGTCCGGGGCCCCCGCTGTGATGTTTCAGGCGCCTGCTTTCGGGCACCGTCCCACAGCTGTGCGCGATCTCCTCCACAGACGGGAGCGTTCCACGCCACTGCGGAACGGAGCGGAGGCGAGCGGGGAGAGGAGGAAAAGGGGGCTGGCCCCCCCTCATTGCGGGGAGGGACGGGTGGAACGCAGGCGGATGGATCGGAAAAGGGAGTGTGGGTGGGGGGAGTATGTGACGGCGGACCGTGGAAAAGGTGGGATGGGGGTGTTTCCAAGTCGCATTAGTAAATGTATCATGAATTTAGGCCTCCTAGATGGGGTCGGAGTAGATGGGGTCGGAAGATCGCCGCGCGCCGCCGATGCATCGGCGACGCGGCTGGATGTGGAGCCCGTTTTGTTTCACGTCGACGTCGCCGACGTCGACGATGCATCGCTGTTGCATCGCCGATGCATCGCCGATGCATTGCCGATGTATCGGCGATGCGGCGCGATCATCCGACCCCATCTATTCGGACCCCATCTGGAGGGCCTGTAATATATCCTCTAATTCTGGACGCTTCGCGTAACCCCACCAGCCCATCCAGCGGCGATACCCTGTCTCGATAAGGGGAAGTGGACAGCACGCAGAGGAAGGGTACCGCTTGCAGGGCTTTTGGGACACTCTTGGGCGCTCTTGGGACCGTATTGGGGTTTTCTTGGGCCTCTTGCGTCTTGGGGGCCTCTTGGCGGTCCTGGGGGCCTCTTGGAGCGTCTCGGGGAGCCGGCCGCGTGGCGGTCTCTAGTGAGCCTCTTGGAGGCCTCTTGGGAGCCTTGGGAGCGCTCTTGGGGCCATCTTGGAGGATATCAATTCAATTTGCCTCCCCCTTCGGATTCCCCACAAGTCGCCTCTTGGTGCGCTCTTGGGGCGCTCTTGGAGCGCTCCGGGGCGCTCTTGGGGCCGTCTTGGAGCTCTCTTGACTCTTTAGCCTCTCTTGAGGCCCTCTTGGGCCATGTTGGAGCCATCTTGAGGCCTCGGAGGGCCATCGGAAGCGAACAGGCGAGAAAGCAAAACACATTGTTTTCCCCTAGTTTTTGGAAGGATGCTGGCCTCTTCGGGGCGTCCTTGGGGAGCTCTTTGGCCACTTGGAGCCGTCTTGGGACGGTCTTGGGGCCTCTTGGAGCATCTTGGGTGCCATCTTGAGGCATCTTGCGCTACCTTGAGCAATCTTGGAGGTCGTCTTGGGCTCTCCAAGGCGCTCTTGGAGCCATCTTGGGCCATCTTGGACGCTCCAACTCGTCGCGCCCCCCCCCCTGTCCAGGTCCAGGGGAGGGGGTAGGGGGAGGGGTCAAGCCACCCTCCCCGCACGCAAGCTGTCTAGCTCACTCCAACCCGCCCTTCCCACCACATACGTGGCATCCGAGTTTCGGCATAGCCAGGAGTCGCCACTGGATGGACAGCCACTGGGAACCAAAGCGGACGCCATGTGCGCGACGCTCGCCGCGGGCGCCACATGCGGTTGGTGTGCCATCCTTGTAAAAAGCGTGATGCCCCCCCGTCTGCATGGTCCACATGCTGATGCGGTGGGCGTCAGCATTGTCCTGGGCCTGCGCACAGCAGACATCATCATGCGGACACCACCGCCGTCCCTATCAAAAACAGCGCTGCCCGCGCTTCGAAGGGGCCTTGAGGATCGAGGCTCTGGCGCCTGCTGGGAGTTGTGGCGGGCACGCACAACTGGGGGGGGGGCCGTTGGTTTGGATGCCTCGGGGTGTTTCGGGAAGTGGGTTCCCAGGAAGTTGTTGGTTCCCAGGCCTGTTTCGCACCGGTGTCAGGCCGGTGTCAGAGCCTTTTTTGATTTTCCCCGCTTTCAGCTCAGCGCACGGGAGCCAGTTTCAGCTTCTCCGACCCATGCTTGGATGTAGCGACGGGAGCAGGTGAGCGCGAGCGAAGACGGCAGGGAAGACAACGAGCAGCCTTCGACAAAAAACTATGAGATAAGTATGTTCCACAGCCATGGCCTTACAACGCTAAAAGCATTCCCTACCACGCCAAATAAACGCTACGTTTTTGTGGTGTTTTCAGCTTGTCACGAGCACAACGTAGAGCGCCCAGGGTGCTTTTAAGACCAGCCAAGCCAATCAGCGCCACCGCATCACCGCCGATATCATCATCGCTGCATCGATATCGTCGTGGCCGCCATTGCCACCAACATCATACAGTAACCATTATCACCCACGAGTGGACATCATCATTATCATTAACGTCGTCGTCGTCACCAGTGTCGACGCCGTCATTGGCCTCTCCGTCGCCATCGTCACCATACCACCGCCACCGCTACTATCATGATCGCCGCCGCCGTTGCCGGCGTCATCATGATACAGCGCCCGCCCAGTCACCGACCCGTACTGGAGCGCCCACGCGCCTGCGAGGTTTTAGAGGTGCGCTGGGAAGATCCCGCATGTAAGCGCCATCGCGGCCACATCTGCTGTGCCAAATCAGTTGACCGTTCTGCGCGCGAGTTTGCTCGCGCTAGCGCAGCCACAGGGATGCGCCAGCCAATCCCAAGCAGGCACCACAATCGCGGCCGCATGTTGGCGGTGCAAACAAGTTGTGGGTCAGAGGGTGGGGCGACTGCGCAAGATGTGGAGCTGACGAGCTAAAGTTCTGCACGGTGGAGTGGGCAGCATGGCTTGCGTGCTTACACAACATAGTTGTCACCGCCCAGCGTTCACCTCCGTAGCTCACACCACGCAACGTTCGACCTCCTGGAGCATGTGCCAGGCCCTGGGACCTCAAAACAACGGTGGAGGATGAAGAGCCCGTTTCGGGGTTTGGAACACGAGAGGGTCCTGCGAAAGACGCGGCCGCGTTGCAGCACACGGAAGCACGACGTCGGAGGCTTCAGGCGGGGTGAATGAGTGACGTGAGTGAAGACGTCGAGTGAATAAGCAGCTCGACTCCACAGTACGCTCGGTTACAGTCAAGACGTAGGGCCCGGGCGCGGTTCCAGTCAAGACGTTGAGCGAACAAGCAGCTCGACGCCACAGTGCGCTGGCCGTTTCGTAGGTCCGCCCCCCCCACGCGCTGCCGTGGCCGCACGGCGCCCTCGTTGCTCATCCGGCCCTCCTTCTGTTCGGGGCCTGACTGTACAGGGGGGCTTCTCCTCCTCCTCCTCCTCCTCCTCCTCCTCCTCCTCCTCCTCCTCCTCCTCCAAGCGCCAGCTCGCCCGAGCCTCCCGCTCGCCCCGCCGAGCCCGCGCCACGGGGCCCCCCGCTCCGCCTCCGCCTCCTCCTCTTCCCCAGCGGCCGGGATGGCGGCGCCTGCGGAGGCGACGCCGCGCCGGCGGCCGAACCGCACGGCGGCAGGGCGGCGCGCCCAATACCGGAGGGCGGACGCCCGGGCCGCCGCGCGCCTCCTCGGCGCCTTCGCGGAGGTCGCCAGTCACCGTGGCTCAGCGACCTCCCGCTTCGGCGCGGCCCTCGTGTCGGCGCTGGAGGCCTTGCAGTGCGGCGGCGGTGGTGCACCGGCCGCAGCTGGCGGGGGCGAGCCCACCGTGCCCGCGGCGGAGGTCGCAGCAACAGCCGAGAGGGAAGCGCACGCGACGGCGGAGGGCGACGAGTTCGGCCTCCGCGATCCTCGCGGCGCTGTTCGAGATCCCGAGCCTGCATGCGGGGAGAGCGATTGTCTGGAGCGCGGAGAAGGCACTGCTGCAGTGCCAATGGCCGCTGGCGCCGAGAGCGCTGATCCAGGGCCCCTTCGGGGGATGACTGCCCGCCCAGGGGACGCCGAGGCGGGCTTGCAGGGCAGCGCGGCGCCCGTGCGGCTCCTCGCCACGGCGGCGACGGCGGACGTGGCGGCGGCGGCGCGAACTCCCACGGACGAACAGGAGGGTGAGACCAGCATCGTGGACATAGTTCGCTCCTTGCGTGCCGAGCTCGCCATGAAGAATGCCGACGCTGAGCGAGAGAAGGAGCCGTCGGCGGCGGAGGCACTGCGGCTCGTGCAGGGCGGCCATTTTGGCACCGCCCGTGGCGGAGGTGGAAGAGGAGCTGCTACAGGGTCGTCGGCTTCCACGACCACGGCCTCACCTGCTGCCCTAGGGGCGGCCGCTGCCAGGGGACCAATCCCAGGCATCTCGCCGCCAACCGACGCGCAGTGCAAGCAGCAGTGACGCGGCACCTCATGTTCATGCAGTGATTCCTCGTGGTGTTCTCCGTAATCGTCGGTGTCGACTCGGGGCCCTTGGAAGAGTTCTTCTGCGTCGTCTGAGGTGCCAGAGGTAGTATTTGAATATCGCTTCGCGATCGGTCTTGTCTTGTCTTGCCTCCTCCTCCTCCTCCTCCTCCTCCTTCTCCTCCTCCTCCTCCTCCCCCTCCTCCTCCTCCATCTCCTCCTCCTCCTCCGCCTCCTCCTCTTCTTCCTCCCCGTCCTCCTCCGCTTTTCGAGGCCACGCGGCGTGGCCCACGGTTCTTCCGAAGGTCTGCTTTTGCGGGGGGGCCCCCTCCCCCCCCCCCCCCCGTGGACCACCGCGTGGTTTGTTGTGGACGATGCGCTGTGTGGAAGAGGTTGCCGCCTGTTTCTTGCTGTGTCTCGTTTCGGGCATTTGCCGACGGTCATCGCTCTGCGTGGGGCGAGTGGTGGATTCCCTTCTGGCGCAAAATCTACAAGCAGGTCCCCGGTCTCGGAGAATGCAAAAGGACCCCTTTTTGTCGGAGGTTGCGCAGGGTTCCGTTCGTAGCGGCCTTACACATGGATTCTTTCTGCGGCGGTTCACACTCAGATCCTCGTGTGTTTTTTGCTTGGCTAAATCTAGACCTCGTTGAGGGGCGGCCTCGCAATTCGATTCCTTTTCGTGGCCCACGTGCAGATTTCACTGGTTGGCGGCGTTACAGATCGATTTTTTCGGGTGGATTTCGCATCGATTGCCGTTGTGGCGGGTTGCACGCATATCCTCTGTGTGGCGGCCAACACATGGATTCCGTTGTGGTGGCGGCCTCGCGTATCGATTCCGCACATCTGAGTGTTTGTTGTGTGGCGGGGTGCAAGACTTTTTTTTGTCGAGGGTTTTCTGTGTGGCGACTTTACAAGGAGGCTACTTTTGTTTGCGGAGCGCTTGTGTGTGTGGCAGCGTTACGCATGCATTCTTTCTGCCGTGGCTCATCAAACATACTCTACGTGGCGATTTCGCAGATTGGATGCGCCGAGGAAAATTATGGCACACTACACATCGCTTCCCCTTTGACGCTGTCTCACGGGTCTATTCCTTCTGCGGCTGCCTTGCGGTTTGATTCGTTGTGTGGTTAATGACATGTTGATTCGTTCTGCGTCGGCCTACTCATCCATTTCTTTGTGTGGTGGTTTCACGCTCCAATCTCTCGTTGCGGCCCCTCCATCCATCCCCCTCTTCCTCCTCTCCTGACTCGTCCTCCCCCACTTCCATGTTTTTTGTTCTCCTCGCATGACATCCCGACTCTTGATTCCAGGTCTTCGGAGCCTTTTACACCATCTCGTTTCACCTCGGGTTCTCTTCATCTTTCGCATGTGTATTATCTTCCACGTCAGTCACACATTTCTGTTTTGGGGGGCTGGCTGCACATATGTTCCCTTTGCTGCTGCCATGGAATGTGATTTATTCAGTGGCGGATTACGGAAGGTTGTTTTACGCTAGCTTGCGATTTGATTTTGTTGTGGCGTGTCGCAGGTTGATTGTTTTTGTTCGTCGGATTGCAATGTGGTGTTTGTGTGGTGGGTACGAATTCTACGTTGCGGATTACAGTTTCATTCGGCTTGTCACGAATCACATTGGATTTCTGTTGTGGCGGGTTCCAAATATATTTATCCTGCAGACTACACAACGGTTCCTTCCGTTGTGGATTACATATTGTTTTCCCGTCCGCGGTCCGTACGATGGATTATTTTCGTGGTGGTATTATGAAGCGTTTTCTTTTGCATGGCTGTTTCCGAACAATTATTCCCCTCATCTTGTGTGGGGTTTTCGTTTTCCCCGCGCACCCTCTGGGGCAGGGCCCACGTCGACCCCATCGATCGTTCTCCATCTCCTCGGGCTCCTCCTCCTCCCTCCTTCTCCTCCTCCTCCTCCTTTTTTGCCTCCTCCCACCTTTGTCGTCCCCTTCCCCTGCCGCTACCACTCCCACTACTACAACTACTGCCACCAGTCTTCGCGCTTCCCCCACCCCTCCAGGGAGGCCCCGCCAGAGCGAGGAGGGTATCGGGATACGATACTATTCATAAGGTCTATTGCCCCTCCCACCCCTCCAGGGAGGCCCCGTCAGAGCGAGGAGGGTACCATAATATTACATTACTTACCAGGTTTCGTGCCCCACCCATCCCTACAGGGAGGCCCTGCCAGAGCGAGGAGGGTACCAGAGCACCATATTATTTGCACGGTTTCGTGCCCCACCCACTCCTCCAGGGGGGGCCGCAAGAGCGAGGAGGTTATTGGAGTACTGTACTAGTTGCAAGGCTTCCTGCCCGTCCCACCCCTCCAAGGGGGCCCCGCAAGAGCAAGGAGGGCAGCAGAAAACCACACTATTCACAGGGTCTCCTGCCCCTCCCACCCCATCCATGGAGGGGGGGGCCCGCCAGAGCGAGGAGGGTACCCGAGCAGCATACTCTAAACAAGGCCTCGTGCCCCAACCACCCATCCAGGGGAGGCCGGCTCTGCCAGAGCGAGAAAGGCGCGGAACGTCATGTGATCTGCAGGGGGTCGCGCCCCCCCGCCCTTCCAGGGGGGCCCCGTCAGAGCGGCGAGGGTGGCAGAATGCCCTATTGTTCACAAGGTATGGCGCCCATCCCACCCCCTGCAGGGAGGCCCCCATCAGAGCGAGGAGGGCATCGGAATACCACAGGGTTTACCAGGTGTTCGCTTCGCTATACAAAAGGAAGGGGGGGCGTCTTGAAAAGCCATCCTCCCCTTCCATCCTGCTTCCCCTCCTCGTCTTCGTCGGCCCTTCCGTGACAATCTATGAACACCATGAGTTTTCTTGTTTTCTTATTAGTGTAGTCCCTGATTGATCCCGCGAACCCCGTGACATCCTTATGTGGGGAACCCTGGCAACATAAATGTTACATGCAGGTGGCTTTACAATCGGGTTCCCTTTGTGGCGGCCTTGCCCAATAATAATGCGATGCGGCGTTGTAGAATAATTTCTTTGGTGGTGGCCTTGCAAAAAGCTCCTGTGTGGCCCTCCCTGGTAGTAATCCCGGGGCCACGAGGACTAACATCACAACCATGAAATCTTGGAAAAGTATAGACGTTGAGACTTCACATGTGTTAGTGGTCTGGGCCGGCACGATGGACGCACACACACACACACATCATGCGCCAATTCTTTAGAGCCGGCGACATATGATGACACATTGTGACCCCAGGATGTCTAAAAGCACAGTAGTTATATCCTTTGGGCCACACGAACATGTCAAACCCGAACGCTGTCATACCTTGTTGAAGACCAAGCCTGGTGAACTCAACCGATGTTCGAGGTTCGAAGTGCCAGACTCTTATGACACATTATGGTTTGTGGACGCGACGGATGGACTTGCTTTGAGTTATCATTTCTTGGATTCCAAGGAACTTCAAGGACAACTGTTTTTACACAGGCCGCCAAACATGCGTGAATGGCGCTCTGCTGTCCTAATTTTGGATGTCCTGGCACCAGAGGGAATTCTTGAGTACTACCAGGATGGCTTGGTATCTCTTGGTTGTTTTTTGTTGTCCCTTGGCTGCTACCAGGTAGGGCCACAGACTGCCACGGAGGGAGTTTTTGAGTGAGGCCGCCACAAGGAATCCCAGTGCAAGGCCACAGCAAAAGGGAATTCCGAGTGCAAGGCCGCCTCACAAAGGAATGTTGTTGCAAGGCTGCCGCAAGGGGAATCGTACTGCAAGACCACCAAAAAGTCTTGAGCAAGGCCGCCACAAAGGGAATCATAGTGCAAGGCCGCAGCAAATCGGAATTCCTAGCGCAAGGCTGCCATACAAAGGAATGCTATTGCAAGTCCGTCGCAAGGTGGATCGTATTGCAGGACCGCCACAAAGAAATCAGTTTGCAAGGCCGCCTCAAACGTGACGGAATCCTATTGCACTACCGCCGCACAGAAATCAGTTTGCGAGGCTGCTCCAAACGTGATTGCGGTTGTTTGAGACCGCCACGCGAGAACACAGGATCCGACAGCGCAATTGGTGAACACCCTCGCCAGAGGGCGCCAATGAAAATCGCACGGCGAACGAGCTCTGGGGAGGAAGAAGGAGAAGAAGAAGAAGAAAAGTACATCATTTTAGTAAGAACAGTGAAAAGGTTTGGGAGGTCTCCAAATCCATCTCTTCCGTCCACTCCTTCCTCCTTCCTCCTCTCCAGTAATCCTTCCAAGTCCTCCTCCTTCCCTGTCTTTTTGCCTCTCTTCCCCCATCCTTCGGAGAAGTGTTTCAAACAAGACAAGACACATCCCCATTTCTCCCTCTCCGAGGGAGACGGGGAGGATGTTATGTTTCTGTTGTTGCTTTGGACCCCCCGGGAAGCATTCGTGGCCACGGCAGAATGCAGCTCGAAAAACCCAGCCACACGTTGTCCAGGTGGGGGGTTCCCGGCCCATGGATTCACGTACAGCTGTCGTCTTTCCGAAAGTGTTGGACATTTGGAGGCCCGCATATGGTCTTCTGCACTCATATACAGTGGTCGAGCTAAGCGTTTGTTTTGCGACTTCGTGGGTCTGGGCCTCCTAGATGGGGTCCGAGTAGACGGGGTCAGAGGATCGTGCCGCATCGGCGATGCATCGGCGATGCGGCTCGATGTGGAGCCAAAGTTTCTCCACGCCGACGTCGCCGGAGCATCACCGGCGTTGCCGGTGCATCGCCGATGCATCGCCGATACATCGCCGAGGCATCGGCGATGAGGCGCGATCCTCCGACCACATCTCCGCCGACCCCGTTTGGGAGGCCTCTTGTGTGCCGTGCCGTTTCGATTTCATTTTGCAACAAAGGCGGAGCGGAGACAGAACGAGGGAAAACGAAAACAACACGAACACGGACACAGCTGTCGAGCTCGAGCCCTGCCTGGCCGTCCAACCAGCCTCCTCCTCGACAGTACAGGCGTCTGGTGCGAGCCCGTCGAGCCCATCTCTTCCTCCTCCGCCCTCCCCTCCGCCTCCCCCCTCACTCTGCGCGAGGCCTCGGAAGCCCAGCTCTTTCCCCTCCGACCTCCCCTCCGCCTCGTGGCGCCTGGGCGCCCGTGCGGCCTGTCCGTACCAGTACACACTGGTTTCCTCACGCCAGCGCCTCCCGTGCACTGTTCTTGGGGCCCAGCTCTCAGAGCGTGAATTACCTACCCCGCTTTCGCTTCCAGGCAAAACCAAGCCATACCACGCGCCTCCTCGTCAAGCGGCCTGACCAGTACAGGCTGCAATCTGGCATCGTTTGGTATCTCTTGGAAGCGAGGGTGGTCAAAAGCGAGGTAGGTTTGTTGTCCCCCTAAGCTCGGGCTTCCTTTGGCGAGTCGAGTGCGGCTTCTAGCTGCCCTAACCGGCCAACGGTTGAGTCAGATGCGCAGGCCCGCTCCCCCCTCTCCCGCCGACGCCCGTGGGCGAACGCGCGTGCCAGCATCCGCGGCCTTGCGGGCCAGGCCCTTGGGTTGTGAATTTGTGGGCGCGGGCCGTTCTCTCGCGAACGCCCCGCTCGGAGCGTACCCGTGCGACCTCGTATCCGCGGGATCGCGCCCCAGAGTCCAGACCGCGGGGTCGCGCCCTTAGTACTGCTCCTCCTCCTCCTCCTCCTCCTCCTCCTCCTCCTCCTCCTCCGTTTCCTCCTCCTCCTCCTCCTCCTCCTCCTCGTCCTCCTCCTCCTCCTCCTCCTCCTCCTCCTCCTCCCTCAGCCCTGCCTCCATCCCCTCCTCGGCGGGCGCGCGCGGGCTGTGCGGCAGGCCCCGCGTCGCGACGGCGCCGACCCCCGCAGGCCCGCGGGCGGGGCCGCCCGCGGCCGCTCGCCGCAGCCTGCTCGCCGCCGCCCGCTCGGCCGCCCGCTCGGCCCGCCCGCTCGGCCGCCCGCTCGGCAGCCTCGGCTTCGGCCTCGGCCTCGGCAGCCGAACGACGTCGCGCAGGGCTCGCTTCGGTTCCCCACGATTCAGGTTCGACTCGGCTTCGATGGCCTCCGACTCGGGTTCGGCTCGCGTTCGGATTCCGAGGTGGGGCCCGGTGTCTCATGGGGGGCATGTGCGCTACCAGCGGCGGGGGCCGTCTTTCAATCCCAGGACTCTGAGGGTCGGGGACGGCGTCGGGGTGGTGTGGTGTATACTTGTTGTCCCCGCTTTTCCGCGGGAACGGCGAAACATGTATACAATAGGATCCCGTATACACCAGGATCCGTTTTCCTGTTCGAGTTTCAGTGCGGGGCCGGCAAGAGCGTCGGTGTATAAAGTTTGGTTTCTTACAACGACGTCGCACAGGGCTCGTTTCGATCCCTACGATTCGATTCGACTCGGCTGCGATGGCTTCCGATTCGGATTCGATTCGACTTCAGGTTCCGATGTGGGTTCCGATGCCTTATTGGAGGCCTACTAGCCTGCCGATCTCTGCCGACTCGACTTCTCCCGACTCGGCCGCCGACTCCCGCCGATCCTATTCATTTCGATCGCCGACTCGACTTATGGATTCGATTCTGGGCTCCTCCTGGCCGAACGACATCCGGTATAGGGAAACAATGATCGGGTATAGCCAGGACCCCAGGTAAGGGGACCCGGTTAGTGGTAGGGCCCTGGAGCCCCTGGATTCGACAGGATCACTAAACCAGATCTGCCGTAGTTGGTGTTTTTTCGGATGACGGCAGTTCCGGTTTGTGGAACGGGGCCGGAGGGCGTCCCCCAGTACATATCATTAAACCAGGTCCCACCAAACCAGTTCTGCCAACGCCCGAAATTAGTAGACACCTCCCCTGCCCCCCAAGCTCAAAGTTGGCACGCGCGGGGGAGACTGCGGTCGAGGTGCAACTCATCAGACCCACCGCCAACTTTGAACATTGGGGGGAGGGGGAGGCGTTGAGCGATGAATGTGGCACGAGTGTTCGCTGTTTTTTGTCCGAGGCCTGTCGCACGGGTGCGCACAGCCCAAGACACCGCCACCTGGGCGACGCTCCAGCACCAGCGCGCCGCCCCCGCGCGATGGAAGCATTCCCAAGACGCACGGCGAGGCATCGAGGCGACGAACGCTCCCACAGCGGCGCCAAGAGCTTCCCCCCCACCTCCATCTCCCTCTCCTCATGCCTCATATGATGGGCCTGTTTTCCACCACCACCATAAGTTGGAGGGGGAGGGGTTTCCTCCTCCTCCTCCTCCTCCTCCTCCTCCTCCTCCTCCTCCTTCCCTCCTCCAACTTCAAGTGGTGGCGGTGGAAAACAGGCCGATCATCATGGCTTCTTATCTGCCTCGCATTGCATGCGTCCGGGCTCGCCAGAGTCCTGCCCGCAGCGGTGGTCATTCCGCTTGTCCGCAGCGGTGGTCGTTCCAGTCGTTCGGCCTCGAAGGCGCCGCCGCCTCGAGGGCCACGTTGGGTGTTTCGGCCTCGAGAGGCTCGAGGCTTCGGACGTGCTCGTCGGCTCTCGGCGGTTTTCCAGCCTTGGCCTGCTTTCCAGCAGCTGCGCCTCGCCGAGAGCGCTCTGGGGGCGACCAGATCATCCCGGACGGCCGCCAGGGAACCGAGATATGGCCCGATAGGTGAGGCGTAACGCAAGGGATGGATAGGCTCCATGGGGGGATGCATCGACCCTCGATTGCCCATTCTCCGCAGACAGGGGTCCGACAGACCGCCCTGCCCAGGAACGCGCGGCTCCGACATGGAAAGCCGATCGGCGATGCGTCGCCGATTGCAGCTCGATGCTCCCCCCCTGAGCCAGGCTTCCCGAACGTTCCCCCTCTCACCGCAGCCGCGTGAGGATGGCATTGCTTCGATGCAAGCTTCGAATGTGGATGCGCCCGTCTGCAACGAAGAGGGTGCCGTAGGTAGTGCTGAGGTACTTCGCTAGATGGCACCATGGTAGTCCCTTCCCAATCCGTCTTTCCCTCCTTCATCTCCCTCTTCTCCCCTGGCCCCCTCTTATCCTTTTTTTCTCGCTGGTTGCTCTCATTACGGTAGGTTCGTGTCGTGTCGACTGGCGGCGACCCCGGCAGCGGCGTTCGACGTTGAACGCCGCGAGCGACCCAGAATCGATCGATGTGGAACGATTCGGACGTTTCGGCAACGGCCGATCGTTCAAGGTTGAAGGATCCCCGCGGTGTCAGAAGCCAATTCCGATGTCCATACGACACGAACCTGCCGTAACTTCCTACACCTTAGGCGATGCTTAAGAAAACTTAAATTTTCGGCCAGAGTCTCGATTGTTCTTCATGTTTCAATGTAAATCCTAAGTTTTTAATAGAAATGTTGGGTGGTTATGCAAGTTCTGAGACTATGAATTTCTTAACCCATGATTTCTTAAGCATTTCGCAGGGTGTATATTCTTGAGTTTCCCAGCGTTGGTGCTGTCATTGACGCCGGCGAACCTGCCGTTCCCAGAGTGTTCGACGACGACGACCTGGCCCCTTCTCGCCCGTGACCTCCCCTACCCCCCTGCCTGCTCCACGCTTCCAGTCCATCCTCCTCCTCCTGCCCATCCCCTCCTCCTCCTCCTCCTCCTCCTCCTCCTCCTCCTCCTCCTCCTCCTCCTCCTCCTCCTCCTCCTCATCATCATCATCATCATCATCATCATCATCCTTCCTCGTCCCTCCCCTACCTATGTTAGGCCCCATGGCTGGGGCCATGATATCTCCCCAGATGGTATGGCTCCTCAGGCCAGGATCTGCGCCTTCCTCCCCTCTTGGAAGCCCCCCCTCCCCGGACGCAGAGCGGATTTGGTTTGAAAAACAATTGGATGGGCCCGGACTGTCCCGGAGAATGCCGTTTCGTATTTCGAAGTTATGCAGATTTTTCGGAAGTTTTTCGCTCGCTGTTCCGGGGTCTTGCATTGACAGAAATCCATGCGAAATTCCGCTGCAGCACGTCTGCAAGGTCGGTGCAATGACCTTACTCCTGTCCCACTGTACCAGATCTGGAGGTCACCACAGCAGGCTCGAGGTGTTCGCGGCGTTCGAGCGTCGAGGTTTTTGGGCGTCTCCGTCGGCTCCCAGCGGTTCTCAGCCCGGGACGCCTTCCTAAAACAGGGCTAGGATCGGGATAAATCGCTCCAGAGCGTTCCGGAGCGCTCTCAGAGCGCTCCGGAACGCTCTGGAGCGGCCGCGGCGCCCAATACGTCCTCCAAACCCGCCGATTCTCAGAGATTTCGAGTTACCCCGATCCGATTTTGTCCCGATCTTCGCGTCGTTTTGCTTCCGGCAGCTGCTTCTCGTCGAGAGCGGTTCCGGGGGGCGCCTGGATCGCCCCAGACGTGCTGCAGGAGGCCCGAGGTGTGGCCGGAAGACCACCGGGGGGCACGATCCGGGCCCAGCTCTCAGCGGGCGAAGACGGGTATGACATTTTTTCTGTTCCGCCGTCGTGGGCGCCTGCCGATGGTCAGGAGGAAAAGAAACACACAGACAGAATTAATCATCGATTCCCTGGAAAGATATGGGGAAATATGGGAAGCGGGGGGGAAGAAAGAACCCCAGGAAATATGGGAAAATATGGGGACCATTTTTATTTGTGTGTATTTATTTGTGTGTCCTGGGGCCCCTTCAAATGGGTTGCTGGAAAGTTTCTACCCCTACGGTGCCACCGTAAGGGTATAATCTCTCCAGCCTCCCTGCGACAGGCGCCCCCGACAGCGAAAAAGTTGATGCTATGCCGATGTTAGCCCATTGCGTTACATTCGATCGATCCCGTTTGATGTTGATTCGGGCCGACTCGTTCCGATCCCATTTTGATATGCCGTCGACCTGGTGTGGCCCGACCCACGGTACCGATACACGTGTCGATCCGGTCCGATGTCCTGATTCGTTGCTGGCTGGTCTTGCCTTAAGTGGGGTGTTTCCCTAGGAATATTCAAAAATAGTCAGAAATAGTCTGGGGACGATGTTTTGAGTATTTCTTGCAATTTTGGATTATGTTGTTAATATTTTTGATATTTCCATCAAAATCCGCCTGCAGGAGGATACGCTCGACCTAAGTCTTGCCTCCCCCCCCCGAGGTGGCGACCAGGAGGAGGCCTCGCGGCGCCCGAGGGGTCGGGGCGAGGAGGGTCTGATTTGGGGGGCGGAGGTGGACGCGGAGGGAATGGAAGGGGGAAGGTCGGAGGTCGGAGGAAGGGGGAGGAGGAGGAGGAGGAGGAGGAGGAGGAGGAGGAGGAGGAGGAGGAGGAGGAGGAGGAGGAAGGGAGGAGGAAGGGAGGAGAAAGGGAGGAGAAAGGGAGAAGGAGGAGGAGGAGGAGGAGCAGGAGGAGGAGGAGGAGGAGGAGGTGGGAGGGGCAAGGGAGAGAGCAGAACGTGGGGGTGAGGTAGTAGGAAAAGGCAACAAGCGATGTACATACAAACATGCAGAGGTCCGCGCGGATTTTCCGAATCGGCACAGGAGCTCCCTGGCGGCGCTTCCGGCGCCGCCCCTGGCGCGCTCTGCGCGCCAAGGAGGGGTTTCAGCGCCGATCCGAGAATTCTGCGCGGACCTTCGAGTTGTTTTGTTTATGTCATTGTGTGTTCCCCTAGAGAGGGAGGGAGGGAGGGAGGAAGGCTCAGAGGAAGGGTCGGAGAGAAGGGGGGGAGAGAGGATGGAGATTCAGGAGGTGAGGGCCTCTTCATATTATGCTTCTTCCGTGGTTTTTGGATTGCGCTTGCAAGTTTTCGGACGTTTCTGAAGTGTTCTAGAGAGTATGTTTGCCGCCTGGCGATGACGGGCGTGACCAGGGGGCAGAGTTTTCGCCGATCTATCGGAGGCGGATCGCCGATCCATCTGCGAGATGTCGCCGGTGTCATCTCGGTGTTTCCCTTGTTAACGTTCCCCCCGTCAGCAG